ACACTGGTATACATTAGGGTAGACTACTACACTGGTATACATTAGGGTAGACTACTACACCGGTATACATTAGGGTAGACTTCTACACTGGTATACATTTGGGTAGACTACTACACTGGTATACATTAGGGTAGATTACTACACTGGTATACATTAGGGTAGACTACTACACTGGTATACATTAGGGTAGACTACTACACCGGTATACATTAGGGTAGACTACTACACTGGTATACATTAGGGTAGACTACTACACTGGTATACATTAGGGTAGACTACTACACCGGTATACATTAGGGTAGACTACTACACTGGTATACATTAGGGTAAACTACTACACTGATATACATTAGGGTAGACTACTACACCGGTATACATTAGGGTACATGATGTCTTTTGACTTGGTGTAAAGACTTTGTCTGATGTCTATGAATATTTTGAGGTTCTAGTACACAGAAAAGGCTGTTTGGTAGGTTGGTGCTGGTGAAACCACTCAGCCAATCATGTTTCTCCAAGTATACTGCCCAGCTTCCAACTGGCAGAGGTTCTGGTAAAGGTACTTTTAACAGAGGTCGCTGTCCATGTAAGTCATACACACACACAGACAATTTCTCCAGAGTCACCTGAGTGTACATTGTAAACCTATCGCCTATAGCTAGCATGTCTTGAAAACGATGATTTATGTCAATATGCTTGATAAATTTTAGTTTGTATTTATGATTCTCGAGGTGTTTTAAGACTAAATTATAATAAGCTACAATACAGAAGTTTGTTTGATACACATCGATCGGTTTCTGGAACACAAAAAATCCACATTTATCAATAGCTGGTAACGGAATCCTTTTCATGTCCGTCAGTAAATCATCAACATGCTGTACAGTCCAAACTTCAGAATGTTCCAACTTATTTACAGTCCACACACTTAAATAAGCATTGGAATCATATGCCATAAAAGCTTGCGTTGATGAGTTTAAATCCATTAAAATCTTTACATGGCAGACCCAGCCCACATGGTGGAGTTGGGAAGAAAAGATTATGTCTGCGGTGTGAAGATTCCACAGCTTTACCGTACAATCAGCTGACCCCGTCACAACTAATCCACTAACACTGTCACCATCAATGGACAGAAGACAACGTACGTGACCTTGAAACCTTTGGTATAGGTGAAACTTCTGAAGGTCATAAGCACATGCGATGGTGTCTGATGCTATGTAAAGGTACTGTTGATCCATTGCCATGGCGCGCACAGCACACTCTAGCCTCACAGAAACTCCATCGTCTGGGGAATCTATCGTACCGAGAAACACCCTTTGAGAACCCTTCCCTGGAACAAAAGATTTAAACTCAGATGTGTTTCTATAGCTACCATATTGCTATCAATATGTGTGTTTATAAATAACAATAAAGATTTAGTTACTAATTAGTATTTAAAAAACAATAACGGAGGGAGAGAACAAAGTTCCCCCAATTATATCAAGAAAAGTACATTACTGCTCATGATTTTTCTTTCTTTTTCATTTGTTTTAAAAAAGGTCATCATGTTGTTATTTTCAAATTATCTGTACATTTCCATGAACTTTTTGTATTCTTGCTCTCTTAGTTTAATAAAAGGTTTTTAGGTATAATGATACTTACCCGACACAGCAAAGCGATCCTGCCTGTAGGACCACACACAGAAACCGTCAAAGTTTTCCTGACAGTACTCTTTGGACTCGTACAAGCCTTGTTGTGAAGTGGCCAGGAAGGCCCTTCGTCTGATGAACTGGTTTCTGTACACACGCGCTGGCTTGTTGAGGACTACCTGTCTCGCACCACCAATGTGCCATACAAGGTCAGTCCACAACTTCTTACAGAGGCTCACACACGTGTTCCATGACTTGCTGACCTGCATTGAATGCAATCATCAAAACCAACATCAAGTCATTCTTGCATGGATTTTAGAGAAAGTACTTCCTCTTGCCCGTACCAGCAAATTGGTCAGGGAGATAGAGTGTGCGGTAACATGCAATTCAGATTGTACTACAGAACAATGTGATATCATTAAAAGCACAGTCCCTCCTAATGCATGTGATATTTGTTATTACAATTATATAATTGGACGACACCAAATATTTTTTGAATATGTGATATTACATTCAAATATCAAGTAACAGTACAATTAGCAGTTGTTATAATTAAACAAACGTTAATGTTTAACTCTTATACCAGATACGGTGACAACAAAAATCATTGGAATGACATTAAATTGTCCGTTAAAAACGGCACATGCCTTGTTGTCATTTAATGTCATAAGCATATTGTGCCAAAGATTAATTAATGTTATCTTTATGTTTTAAAGACAAATTTCATTAAAATAACTAAATAAATATTTCAGTCATATGGCAAGGTATACCGATACTTTGTTTCATGCTTATGACAAATATTCATCTTATTTGTGAAATATTATTTTTTAACATCCTAAGTAACATACCAAACAGCAGCTGTGTACAGAGTTGACATCAAGGTAGCAAAGGATTCGTTCGCTAATTTCATTTGGAAGACAGGTAAGAAAATCAATTCTGCAATTCAAAGGGAGATAAGTCTGAGTCAAAAACAGCAGCTGTTCTGGTCCACACAGCTGCAGTAATTCGGCTAGAGTCTGTGTCTTCTCTGCCTCATTCAATGTTTTGAAGTGTTCTTTTGTAGAATTTAACCACTTAGAAAAGTCGTGTGACTCCATTTCCAGTTTTAAAACTTGTTATTAAAACTTCCAGTCTCCAGGAATTGTCAGAGAATTAGGGTGAACTTTGCTTCTTCCAAGTTTCCAGATAAACACAACTGAAATAATGGAAATACGAGATTGTCAGTGCATCAAAACTACTGCTATTTTTTGGCATAACTAAACATTTATAACAAAAATATTGTGGATCAGTACTGTTGATACATGCAAATATTAGCTCACCAGCATTTTAAAACAAATTTAATCATTGTTGAAGTTTCCTTCCAAATACTACAAATTTTATGCATGTATTAATAATCATATTTTTGTCCTTCACTGGTGCTTTTTGTCAGCCTATTCACTCACTTTTGTATTAGAATCCTTTTCCAGAAATGATATTTTGGTCTACAGAATTTCGTGGATTTTCAGAGATGGGTATATATGTATAAGAAGTATGTATTGCAATGTGCAATTTCACTTAAAATGTTCTATTTCTGCTACATTTATTTTAATTACCAGGAATATATATACATAATTTTGATTCTAATTATGAGGTTTAACCAAGGAATCATACACCGTCAAAGAGGCAGACATGTCGACTCATCGAACAGGAACCATAAAGAAACGGACCGGGGAGAGGGGAGCGCGGACTATTCAGATGGTGGCTCTAAAAGATGACATAACGGATATTCTTGCATACTAGACCGAGATATCCGCATTTCCAGCGGTGCTGATAAACTGTATCCGACCCACGAGTCTGGATGGCTTACACTCGCAGACTGGCGGGGGAATTATAGTGACCTTTCAGGGTCACCCTATTGTTTGTGACATCATTTTATGACGTTTTGGGGTCAGTCAGGGTCATTGACGTCATTAGCAATTGCCATCCGGGCTTCATATGCAAATGAGAAATGTGTGGACAATTTACAATTTTACTAGAAGAGCAGCTTTTTTTTACGGGTTTTAGCTATAAAGCAAGAAATAGAATCCATCCCTGATGTGATGTATGGATAAGGCAATTCAAACCCTCGGGATACAATATTGAGCAGAAAACCCTCGGCTTTAAAGCCTCGGGTCTCATGCTGAATATTTTATCCCTTGGGTTTGAATTACCTTATCCATACCTCTCATCACAGATGGATTCTATTAGTCTGGAGAGCAATAGTCTTCAGAGACATAAAACACCTTTAACTCAGGAAAAGAGAGATGAAAATTAATCACAATGAAGTTTAAGTATATCCTGTCAATCTGCCAGATCAATTCTCAGACTTTCACGTCACTTATTCGCACCTGAAATTTTGGACACCATTCTTGCATTCAACAGTTTTTCGACTGCCTCGTTTATGATGGTTTCAAGACTAATCTATCTTGGTAGAGATAGAAACCATGCAAGTCATTTAATGACAATGTTAAGAGACTCATTTCTCTCAAGATGGCCACTAGGCAGATCTAATCTGAGAGTATTGCTAAGTTTTCTGTTGGGATTAACTGACCCTTGGTGTCCAGACCGTCTAGGTAGAGTACCTTTTATATACTTAACAGTCTTCTTAAAAATGGGGTAGGTTATCTACCCCATCTCATGTTATTCCTCAAGCAAATGTATACCTCTGTCAATTCAAAAAGTCAATTAAGTCTGATTCTTTTCAAGACCATTCAGTTTGTTATGGAGGCCACCATACAGTGAATGTTTTCTGTATGTTGTACAAATAAGAATTATATCAATGGGGAATATTTATGTTAGCATTTATGGGTTCAGGGGATATCTCTAGCTGTAAAAACTACAGTCATTCCAGGCAAGTATGGATAACTTATTTATAAGGGCATGGCAAAACATGTTATTTGGGGGTGAAGGACCTCAATCTCTCCAGACATCCAGCACTGATGAATTATACAACTCCAAGATCACTGACAACTTTGGATCACAATCAACTCCCCATATTTGTGAGCGACCTCCTCTATGGTTCTGGCCAACCAGTGGGAGGAGGGGTTTATTAAGCTGGGAAAAGTGATTTACCTCCCTTGGACTGCAAGCCAAACTTTAGTAAGGAAATACTGGAATTTCAGTTTTATATTAACAGGGCAAATCACATTCGTCAGGTGTCTGCGCTACAAAATCACTGATTTAGACCAGGAGAATAACTTTACATTATGTAAACAAGATGCCCATGGACCTTAACGGTCACCTGACATCTGATTCAAATTAGGACTGTCATCCAGGGGCCAATTCATACTTTTCATCGGTCCGAGTGACCTTGCTGCATCGTCCATTAATTTTTCCTTGTAAACACAATAACTTCAGTAAATATAAACTGATTTTGATGAAGCTTTGTATGCAGCTTTGTATCAATGAGATCTTGGATAAGTTTGAATACCGGACCAATTTGACCATAACTTACATAGTTATTCCCCTTGGTAATTCTAATATTGTTGGACCCTGTGAACACGATAACTGAAATAAATGGGTGTGACTCCAATTTTGACCCAAGGGGTCTGTTTTGAACAAACTTGGTAACTGTATGTCTTCTGTTCTTGGTTAAAAGAAACAAGTAAAAGCGTAAATCAATGATTTATTAAATAAGGAACAAAATTTTAATAGCACCTTGTTAGTAGCAAAAATGTGTCATGAATGAAAAAAAAGGTGTACCACATGAATTTACATCTATTCTTGTGTAATATGTCAACAACATCACAGGGACAAATAATAATATAATGACAAAGGGCAATAACTCTGCAGGTTACTGTCAAATAATTACCAGACAAAGTTTCATTGAACTCTGTCAACATTTATTCAAGTTATCGTGTTTACAAGGTCCAATAATAATATTATTACAAAGGGCAATAACTCTGTAAGTTACTGTCAAATAATTCCCAGTTTCGAACTCTTCCAAGTTCTTATTGATATAAGGCTACATACAGAGTTTCATCAAACTTAGTTGATATTTACTCAAGTTATCGTGAACACAAGGTCCAATACAAAATAGTGTAATAATATTATTACAAAGGGCAATAACTCTGTAAGTTACTGTCGAATAATTCCCATTTTCAAACTCGTCCAGGATCTTATTGATATATGGCTGCATACAAAGTTTCATCAAACTCGGTTAACATTTACTCAAGTTATCGTGTTCACAAGGTCCAATAATAATATTATTACAAAGGGCAATAACTCTATAGGTTACTCTCAAATGATTCCCATTTTCGAAGACGCCCGAGAACCTATTGATATATGGCTGCATACAAAATTTCATCAAACTCGGTTAACATTTACTCAAGTTATCGCGTTCACAAGGTCCAATAATAATAATATTACAAAGGGCAATAACTCTGTAAGTTACTGTCGAATAATTCCCATTTTCAAACTCGTCCAGGATCTTATTGATATATGGCTGCATACAAAGTTTCATCAAAATCGGTTAACATTTACTGAAGTTCTGGTGTTTACAAGGTCCAATAATAATAATATTACAAAGGGCAATAACTCTGTAAGTTACCGTTGAATAATTCCCATTTTCGAACTCGTCCAAGATCTTTTTGATATATGGCTGCATACAAAGTTTCATCAAACTTGGTTAACATTTACCCAAGTTATCGTGTTCACAAGGTCCAATAATAATAATATTATTGGACCTATGGTCAGGTAACCTAAAAAGTAAATTATACATTGCGTGTATTATATATATATATAGTAGATAATAAATAAACTAGTCCTTGCGAAGGAAAATATAGAATAAAAACGTAAGTTTGTCAGATCTTCCGCTAGGACTTTCTGCCTTCTTTTAAGGGCTTCTTCAGACAGATATATAATACAGGCATCATGTACATCATGTGTAGTATCAACCTATTATTAAATTAGACAGTGAAACAATTTAATTTAATTTGTCAATTAAGTTTCTAAGTTAGAACAATTATTTCTAATAAGATCTTAGTGAACATAAATTGATATACAAAGATGTACATATCACACCAGGAAGTTTTAATCATGCAAAACATTATATCTTAATTGGGAAATCTATATATAGACATTATCAACATTTTAAAGTACAGTATCATCAAAAGCAATATTTATTTTTCTTCCCTTTCAAATGGTCTAGGAGGAAGTTAATATAGATCCCACATTGGTAACTACATGTAAAACTGTAATAAGTCGTTATTACAATGTTCACTACCAGTAATACAAGCAAATGGAACAGCAATAATATTCACAAGTAAGTTATATTTACTATCATTGTTTTTGCTGATGTTTATAGAAAAGAGCACAGGGGTTTGTTATTCCTCTAACCTTAGAGGCCGCTGGTCAGCCTTTTTTCTATCGGATATGATGTTTGTGTTATGTGGCACCTGTCATAAGTATCTCGCTGTGTGAACCTCTAACACTAAGTAAGGAGTTTGTTACAATGTTTATGTGTGGTGTGACCTATATCAGTATAAAGTATATGTATATTTCAGACATTTGTAACGAACCCGGGCTGTGAACAGAGTAAGTACAGTGAGTTAACTATGGATTAACACAGATGGGAACGTTAACTGTTACCAATACACACTGTTTAAATGTATGCTGAAAATGATTCCTGATATTAAAATAGGTTGGTGTCAGCATAAAGAATATAATAATATTATTCCTATGCTTACATAATTATAAGTCCATCTCTAAAGTGTCGGGTCTCTGCACAGGTACTGGCCTCGTCTGTCATTACACCCATAATATATATTAGACAGACGAGGCTAGCTCCCTGTGGACAGTGTGGTTTTGACTCTAGATTCTACTTTCACTTTATCGGTTGAAACAGAGTTTCATATCTTTCTCGGTTCACCCCAAATAAACATACAAAATTGTCAAAGACCTGCTCTTACCACACATATCAGCTAAATATATGGACGAAACCTTTCTTATGCGTTATATATGATACATGCATATCATCTTGTTATCCTCCTACGCCCTTCCTCTAAAGCGCTCGAGTTAATTCCCTTGTATCATTTCGAGGGCGCCACTTCCGTTGCTATTTCTGAAACATGGCTGCCGATTTATTCTTCCTGCTTGACCGCAACAAAATTGTGACTTATTAACTGCGACAGGAGGAAAACGGTAAGTTGAAAATAGACCTTACACTCGTATCATGTTAACAGATGTCCAAGTTAGGAGCTTAATGGAAATATTACCTATAAATGCATATTTTATATCAAATGCACATGAGGAGAATAACTTCCTACTCGCGACCCACCTTGGGGTTTGCTGATAGAGCACCTGTAGCATATACTTTACAAATGAGCATATCATGATATACGTGGCTCATTAATTACATTGTGAACAGATTAAGAACGATGAACGAGGTTGACTGAAATAACGACTGCATTTGACAGTCTGATAAAACATGTACAAGGCTGTTGGGCTTACGCACATCACCGTTGTCGTTATATTGACCCACAGGAGCCTGAAGTTCTGTCAATAATGAATAATAACAGTAATACTAAAAACTACCTATAATATGCTTATTTTTTAAGCATATTATAGGTATTTTTTGGTATTACTGTTATTATTCATTATTGACAGAACTTCGGGCTCCTGTGATATGATTGACCTAGGCTTGGAAATAAAGAATTACTTGGGCCAATTTTTATCATACATGTCAGCTATCCCTCTTTGATGGATATTGTCCCTGTAAACCCCAATAATTACCATTCGATCCATCTGAAGTCTGGTCCCCTTTCTTATAATTCTGAGCAGATTTGTTCCTCTCCGAGGAGTCAAGGCCAACATTTGTGCAAATAAACATATTAAGATTGTGTAAAACCTTACAAGGAGATATGAAAACCAGTCAAACCCTACCAAATTTAATACCTCTAAACATCTGTAGAGTTTCTTACCATGAGTGTCAGTGGTCAGCGTACTCGTACTTGATTTGGTTTTAATTTGGGAATGTGACAGTTTGTTAGATGAATCAACTTTTCAAACTAATGTAGGAAAATAATTCAATTGATAAAACAATTGTTAAACTTCACCATGCGATTGAAGAAATGCCATGGAAAAGTTTCTTGATCTTTTATCCCTCTCTGGGAGATTGCTTAGAGGGACAAATCTCTGATGAGGGTCCAGAGGTTGACATGAATGTGAAATAACATACATGACACAGTTAACGACAATGATTTTATTAATTCAGTTAGAATTCGGTAGGTTTGTTTAGAAATGTTACATTCCGAATTTCATACCTTTTAAGAGATAATTCAACAGCGTCTGACAAGAGGGTACCATATTTGACCACAAATACTTGGAACAAAGTGCATAAGCCCACTCCCCAATATTGCCTCTCTCAAAAGATTGTATTTTAAATTTTGTAACATAGTTAACTGCAGAAAAGTTAAAATACTACAAATAATTCTGTCACTGAAACTAAGGCACAATAGTAAATAGCATGTATTGCCATTTGCTCTACTGTGATACTGTGTTTTTTTTATATGTATATAAATGAATGTATGTATTTATTAATGAACCGGGTCAACAAGAGCGATTTATATAAGTTGAAATAACTTGTTTTATATTTTTTTTAAGATAAATAAACTTTATATTCTGTGTTAATACAGCCTGGTATACTCAAATTTGGTCTAGCAATAGTATGCTCAAGTCTTGTTAAGGCGCTAGCCAAACATCTTATAGCTTGATCTTCACGCTATTTTTACACCTTTGATTGTTAGCATTGTTTGAACTTTCTAACAGAGTACTGATTAGCTTATCAGTAATAAATTACACAAAATGCTGTTTAATAAAATGACCTATATATCGTGACCAATTAAATAGAAAATAGCACCATCAACTTATCAACTTGCGGTGACTGTTATTGAATCTTTTGTCTATTGGCTGTTAATTTGACAACATGAACAACTATAAGAACATGATATGTAGTGTGATCATATATCAAAGCCATGGTATTTATATATATCCAAGAAGGACTGGGATAAACTTGCATTAAGCCCCCTCCCTACATTTGGTCAATCTTTTTTACTAGGGCTCATTTGCTGTAAAATGCGGTACTGGTCATAGATCAGTCAACAACCCTTTCATGAAGGATTTGAAATTTCAAGAACTTAAATCCAAAATAACATTTACTCCCAATCTAAATTTTTGACATACTGGTAGTTGGCTTGCTACTGATATATACCTCCGCACCAGAAGTGTACAAGTGCCCCGTTACACCTATCTAAGTCCAATTAGAATTCCCAAATTACGTTATTTTGCTAGTGTTCCCGGAAAATCTTGAATTTTTGGCTATTACAAAATTCACTAAAAAAAACTTCATCAGTTCAGTTTGTCCATCACTGTTTCATAATTACTGAACTGCTGAAGCTGGCTCAGGCCGGTCTTATGTGGTTTTTGAAGGGGGTAAGTTATAAATGTCAAAAAAGACAGGTGGTCACTTTATACAGGTTTGATATTTGATAAAAAAAAGAAGACTTTATGTGATATAAGATGTACTGACTATATTCAGTTGATCATTCATATTCATTAGTGCTGGGAATCGGTCAAATATTCAAGATCAATAATCGGAACTCAATAATCAATCGATAATCGATTATCGGTTTAAATGACCTATTCGTGTAACATAAGAGGCCGGCCAATTTATTATCTGATGTAATTGTGCTGACTGCATGATAAGAAAATACTCGTTTCCGAAATCTCGGCGGAAGGAAGAATTCAATTATATATCTGTTTTGACTCAAAACTTGATGACAACTAGGTGTACTCACAGTTTAGGTATTAATTACCCCCATTTGAATGCTCCAAACACTATAACATAGTATATTAATAACAATTTATCATGAAAAACACTCTGCTAGCTTCATTTTACTAGCTTTCAAATATGGCGGTTTCGGGTGATACAAAATGCGGATGTATATATATGTATTATACGAGACGAATACAAGTGGAGCAACGAAAAGCAATTCAGCTTTTTTCCCATATACAATTCCATTTTTCTATTAACCACCAAATTTATAATGTCGGTGCAGATGTTGCGTCTGATTCAAGTTAGAAAAGGATTACAATACAATTGAACATAATCAATCTTTCATCAGCAAAATCGATTATTGGATCGGACCCTTTTCAAACTTTATTTAATCGATGTTTCCGATTATCGGTACACCATTAATATTCATAGAACTGTTTCATGTCTTTCATCATGTAAATCAATCTGATTAAAATCATCTGTTACATGGCTGTTCAGGCAGAGCCATGTAACAGATGATTTTAATCAGATCATCACACGACATGTACTATACATTCTTTGCACACTTGAGACAAAGTGTAGTAATTTCCTGATCATGCTGATGGGGTAACAAAAGTGTCACATTGTTTTTAAAATCACTTGGAACATCTGCTGGTTGCTTCCGTGACGTTTGTATCTGTCTGTCCTACACTGAATCCTTCGACTGCAATAAGTAGGACAACCTACACATATAGCTACCTATGGCCAAGTCTAACAAACTTAATTAGGTTTATTTCCCGTTCAGTACTAACCCTTAGCTTTCTGCTTGAGAATATATAGCCATGATCGCATTGTGTTGAATACACAACTACAAAGTCACTCATGATCACATCTCGGTGACAAGTTCATTTTTTAACTTCCTGGTTCATTTAGATTATATGCAGTGGGGTAAAAAGTCACTCAATGCAAAATTTATATCCGTGTGGACAGAGAACCTGTTATCGTGGTCACTGGTTCCTTTAAAAAGGAGATCGCAGGATACAGGTCAGTTATATATATAAGAACAATCCTAGGGGGAGCCGGAGATAGAGAACATGGCATGAACATGGTATGAGTATATCAATATAAGATATTTTAATTAAGTCCTTGGAATTTGAGCAAGTTAATGTTGTGCATTAAAGGTAATGAGTAAAAATTGTCACAGATGGCATATTTTCTATTCTTGGATCATCACTATATAATATTATTGATTTTTTATACAAACACAGTAGACAACAACATTTATCTAGACAATCATGATCAATTATCAAAGATGACCTACAAAAGGTATGTTAATACAGAGCCATATAATATATGCTCTTGATCAATGTTTCTTTTAACTCAACAAACACTGAAATAAGATTGCCCTTCCTTCCAACACGGCTAATTGGAAACCCTGGAACAACTGAGAAATAGTGATGAGTGCCAAAATAAATAAATAATAAGTTGATGACCCACTAAACATGTAATGAGGAGACAAGGGTAGTATAATATGCATTCATAAACATCTTTTAGACCTAAATAAGCGAGGAGGAATGTATCCAGATCTGTAGCTGGTTGGTAGTTTCTGGGGTTTTCGGCATGTAGTAGACCGCTGTTGCACAGTAAAACACAGTCTCTGAGAGTGAGAGGCATGTTATTGTAGCCAGCTATATACAGGCAGTGCAACTGGTCCATTACCTCTAGTGATGGAAGGTTGATCAGGAAAATTTATCTTTCTTCATCACTTGATCTGACAAAACATGGCAGGCAGCATTTAACCTCATTATCCCATGATAAAACAGATGGTTTGGTAGAGGCAGCGGTCCAGCTTGGAAAACACTCCCCAGAGCTTGGCTATAGCTGTGCACTGATCAATGTGGTGTAGTGTTGGTTTGTCCATTCTAGATCCGATCTGGTATGCTTCCTGAAGTGCTTTTTGGATTTTGAAATATAAATTCATACAAATATGATTTTCTCTGGAAGCTTAAGATCCAGTCAATCTGCTGCGAATTGCAGACAAAGGTAAGAAAATATATGACAGTATAGTTTCTATATCACAAATGTAACTTGTTACAGTCTACTGTAATATCACCTAAATGATATTACATCACAAGGAAAGGAAAACAATTTCATGGCAAAGGTAAAACTGAGCTGTCATTTTCCGTATTATTTACGTCCTATTATATATACATGTAGGTTTAAAAAATCTCAAACTTGTTCACATAACATCGGATTATGAAACTCACTAAAGCTTGTTCTATTAAGATATATATTGTTTGATGACATCTTTATATTCTAAACTAACAATCCTTATGCTGTACCAATATACCACTGGTACCAATAGCAATTAACATCGAAATCCATGTTATGTATGTAAAAGTGAAAGATAGTTTTATAAATTACGATTTGCAAAACTCTTAAATGTTCAATCAAAATCTCTGTGAAAAACAGGTGTATTTTATTGGGTTTAAAACGTATGTTACTACAATGTGAAATGTGTAATGGCTAAAATCTTCCCAGTTTATCAACAGGAAGCACACTAATTTTGCCACTTTGCTGGGTATTATACAGACTGCATGTGTATCTGTTGTTCAATCTTGACATATTGGAGATTCTGTAAAGAATTGAGGTTAATGTTCTGAAGTAACACATCAGAAAACATGTGGTGGGGTAAAATACACCAAACAATATTTAGTAGCTATACAGCAGTACTATACAAACATTCTTAGTGGGGAGATGTTTAATTTACATGCATACAGTTTAAAATACCGGGAATTTACAATCTTTATTATATACATTAATGATCCATGATTTTCCGGGGGGGGGGATAACGAGATTTTTAGAACTAACTTTATTTTGTAGAAATTAAAATCGTCAACATTTCAAAAATGATGTGCAGGACTCGCCTGAAAAAAATCAAAAAAATCTACTGTTTGTTGGAGTAGTTTTACATCTGCTTTACTACAGAGTAGTTTGATCAGCCGGCAGAGAAGAATAACATACATGTTTGTGCTGATCCATGAATTAACTGGTACATCTTTTCATTGTCATTAAATTCTTTATTTAAGATTTTACAAAGTTTTGTGGATCTTTACACTCTCTTAAATATGATTTAAATACACATATTAAAGCATTTAAGAAAACAGTTGTGTAACCTTTAACCATGGTTTCTTGCCATTTGTAGATATATTTAATCTTTTAATGTAGATAAATAGGGCACTCTAATAAAATCGCTAGGTATATTCAGCAATGAAAAGCGTTATTCTTGCACGTTGGAATTAAGGGTTGCCCAGAAGCTGTAGTTGCCCTGATTTCTTTTTCTTTCCAAAATACCATTGATAATGTCAGGACACCTCTATAAAGGTATTAAGTATGTTAAGAGTGGTCTAAATCAGGCATTGAATCAATCAAGATAGGTTTTATTTCTTAAATGCCAAGCAATGAATGGTATAAATTGGTTCAGATGACTTAAGGGAGAAGGTTTTGATGTACAATTATTGCCTCTACGATTGATCGAAATTGCGTAAACTGCTGAGATCTATATACACCTCTATACTGTGTGTGTAACAGAATCTCATTCCTGTTATGCAACAATCTAGGGCAAGGCTATTTACTATTGAAACCCGGCTCCGTTAACAACAACGCTTTATAAACTTATAAATGATTAATTTATTATTTACTTTAAAACAGGAAGGTTTCATGTTTTTGTCCTTAAACAAAATGACAAATTCAGCACAATTTTTAACTTTACCAGGCAAATTGTACAACAATAAATGAGACTTTAGTTGAGAATGCCTGATTGTAAGGACAGAATTTTTACGTTTAGGTGGGTAGAAAGACAAATATTCTGGTGTATCTACTTCCTCAATATCTACTTTAGCATTAACTTCAGAAATATTTTGTGAAGACTGCACTGCAGTAAAAATATGCAGTTACATTTAATACCGTATTTGACCTCATAACGAGTCCTTGCTTGCAAGCAGTTTGTTGAGATCAGTTTAATGCATTGGTAAACCAGATGAGATGTAGATGCTTGAACCAGGATAGGAGTGCTATTAGGGTATGGGGCATGATCAAGACTATAACTATGATATGAATGAACTTAACTCAAAAACTGTTTTGGTACATATTTATGTAAGTACATTTTTATTCTCAAACTGTTCATTCTGAGTTAAGTTTGCTGAAATTCAACAGTCAATCCCCTATATATTTATATTTATATGTACATCAATATAATATGCTGCATGCATGTTAATATTAAATATATCTGTCTCAATCTAAGAAATATCGGCAAAGTTCAGCAATTAATTTCATGCCTATGTTGACATCCAAAACACTGGTAGTGCATCACATGAAATGCTATATATTTTATACATTACGGTTAAGCATGTATCCTTAATGAGTTTTTTAAAAGGTGTACAGTACAAAGTTAACAAAAAAGATCTGCCGAGTAAAAACACCTGGACCCCGCTGGTCTATATTTAGGTACTGTAATTGATGGCTGACTTGTGTTGATAATTAAGCTGGGTAACAGCAGCCTCATGAGCCCCCTTTGGTTTGTATACACAATTCATTACAGGGATAGATCAGACTTTCCTGTTTTTGTGTAAAACTTCAACTTTGATTTAAAGTGTTTTCTACCTCTAATGACTTTATAAAGCAAAAAATGGTTATAATGATACTAAATATATGAATTAATTACATGGGTTTTATTTCTTTCCAAAATCAGTCTATCTACAAGGGTATCTTGAAAAATAGCTCATTTAATCAATTTAAGTATCAATTAAAGTCCTTATATAAAATTTAATAAGTATTTAAAAAATTTGATATACATTTTTTGTACCTATATTTCCATGTTAGAATGTCAATGTATCATAAAATATATACAAGGCTGTAATGTTTGTTTCTGTCCCTGGGGTGTTTGGATATTGTTCATGTTCAGGAAGAAGATATATAGTGATTATATACACAAAGCCAGTTTTTATCAGGCACCAGTTTCGGTGTGTGTTTGTGTTGTGTTGGGGGGGCAGGAACCAGTGTTGGTGGTAGTTTGTTTTTTCCACAACATTTAGTATCTGTTTCATATTTATCGCGTCCCTAAGGGATATCATACACAGGCTAACAATTGCACAGGTACAACCCCTCTTCAGCTCAATGATTTACCATGACCATTTCTGATAAAAAATAAATATGAAACCAGCTAAGATAACACTATCAGGTATTTTAAGAATTAGAGATGACCGTTATCTCTAAAGCTAGGTCATATTGATGGTATTGTTTGTTATTTGTTATTGTAGTGCATGTACTGGAGGATCCAAAGATGCATCGCTTTCATGTCCTGTCTGAATCAAAGCTTAAAAACTTAAACAAGATAATACCGTAGTAGCATCTTGTACAGTCTGGCAAATAAAAATCGAGAAAATTTTGGTATGGAGGTGGGTTGAAGATCATTATTTACCAGATAGGCACTTGTAAGATAGACTGAAGGGGACCCTTAATTATTACAATATGGGAGTGGCCATTTGTAAGGATTACATAACAGTAGGACACATTTCCATGGTGAACTCTAAAAAGTGTTTACTCTTTTTCTAAAAAACAATTTATCTGACTCAAGTACCTAATACCACATATAGGGTATGGCATATACGTACTGTACTTCGTTATCTGGAGTGAGCAGGGGCCAGCATAGAAAGTGTGTTTGAGAAAGAGGGCAGTGGCACTTATACTATTTTAATAAGTGTCGAAAAAAGGGGAGAGTGCTTAAACACTGTATACATTATAAGAGCAGGAAAGCTAATTATAGCGAATGCAGCCTTATATTACACACTGTTCGTTTCCACATAAATTTGAATTTTCTGTCATGTATAATCTACTACCAACAATGTCTCTGATCCGGAGCTTGTGAAAATTATACTAGAGGAAAACATCACGGATGTCATATTCTCATATTAACGCCAAGTGGAAATATATCCTCATTTACAATATGTTTTGATATTGCAAAGTATTGTTCATTCTTCGATAATGTGTACTCATGGTTGAATATACATGTACTACAGTATCTATACATACTCGACCATGGTATATTAGCGACCGAAGTTAAAGGCTACAATTGTTTTATTAATTTCAAAACAGTGATGTAAGCAATCTGGGGAAAAAAACACAACAAAAAGACTTCGGAAGCCGGAAGCTACGGTGCGTTGTTTGGAGACACGTTTTAATTCTATGTTTAGAAACACCCAGTCCTTCAACAAAAATCACGCGCTCCAAGTCAATATCAGGTTTTATTGGTGATCACGTGATGCACTCCTGGCCAATCACTTGTTGGGAATAATATGAAATAATAAACAGAAACGTCAAATCAAAGGTACAAGGTATTAGTAACTTTTCTGTCATCAATTATGTAATTTTCACAGGAGATGTACTTAGATCAGCCATAAAATTTTATCACAAGTCGACATTGTGATATTTATATGATAGTTGTAAGTTGATAACTGTTGGTGTGTCTATGATATAATATTCTATAACTTTCTGTCTGTGTAAGAACAGCTGCTCTTGAGGGTGTTCCAAGTATTTTTTTAAAGTTTTAATGCTAAACCATATGTGTGTTGGAAGATAAAGGGAAAGAATAATTCGATTTATTTCTAATTAGATAAAATGTCTGGTACTTTCATCAGACAGGAGGTCCTTGGTTTCGTACATAATCCATCCCTGTTTCTGTAGAGAATTGCTATCACTCTGTAAAATTACCAATTTAAAGGGTTCACTCAACTCCTGGATTCTGATCATGAGTGCATATTGTAAAACTACAAGTACAGTAGTAATATCATTTTGATTGTTCACTGAGTGGAGCATTATAATTACCTTTCGATAATTATGAAGATGGAACTTTTGTCCAATCTGTTTCTTTGATTAGATAACACAATTTCACTGTGATGATGAACTTGGAAATTGTTTCTAGTACATATACAGGTACATCATGATGTATATGAATGAAGAAAAAATTCAGGTCATCTGATAAAGAT